TTTTTTCATTGCTCCACAAGGAGCAACAACATCAGCACCTGAAGATTTCCTAGCGCTACTGATACCATGGCGTGCGTCTCACACCCACACCCCCAATAGTACCCTAGTCCTAATTGTTGTTAGGTTCAACATCACCATTGGTCCCAGCCCTCACGGCTCCGATCATTCCTCACTTTCTGACGAAGAAGACTCCTCTGGCGTCCAAGTATCCCCGCCGTCCGACTCGGGAAGCCATGATTATCAGGATCCTTATGATGAATGGGCACACCTGCCATATCCAGACGAGTTGAAACCATCTGACTCCGCGTCTCGACCTAGGACGTCGCATCGTGCTCGTAGCCGTCACCCGGTTCATGGGTCATCCTCGACTCGTCGTCACCCAGGTAGACGTCATGTTGCACAGGAACGGGAGCGTTTCACTCGTCGCCCTCGTCGTCAGCCTTCCCCCGAGTCTCCAGAAAGCATGGACTCAGGGGACGAGTATGACAGCCCGTATGGTCGAGTATCTCATGAGAAGAGAATCTGGCCGCCCATGGCTCAAGGCCCAGGGTATGCTCGCAGCCCTTCTCCAGTACCCTCATACGTTTACCCCAATGGTGGTGTACCACATGCAGCTTATACACACCAAAACGGTCACCAGTCTCCTTCAGACCAGCTTATAAGGCTGGGTCCCCACGGACATCCCACTCAACCGAACCCCTACGGCCATGCAAGTTATGCATATAATCAATTGCAGCAACCCCATGGCTCCTCTATGCCACCCTTTTTTGCTCATGACCATCATCTGGGGCACCACCAACACCATACGCCGCCTTCCCATGCTCGAGGTGATAGCCATAATCCATCTCAACATCCATTGGCACGTTCTCTCTCATCTCATGGACCATCACCATATGGTGGCGCCCCACTGGGCCCCAATGATTTGGTCCCCTATGGGCCAGGGGGTTATTATCCCTTTAGGGAGCCATATGGTATGGTTCCTGGCATGATTCATCCATCATATTTCAATCCGTACCCCCGCGTACCATCTCCAAGTCAGGTTGAATCAACTGGCTCCCCACCTCCGCCACCCACGGATACATCAAAGGACGAAGCAATTGCAAGGCTGGAGAAGCTGATCTTGGAGGAAAGGACAGAACGCGAAGCGAGGGAACAACGAGAAGCTGCACGGCAAGCGGCACTGGAGCAAGAAGCCGCTGAACAAGCCGCCAGAGAAGAGCGCGCTGCTCATGAGATGAGGATTGTAGAGGAAGCTGCTACTCGTGCTAGAGCGGAGGCAGAGCAAAAAGCTGCCGAAGAAGCAGCGAAAGCAAAGAAAGAGGCGGAAGAAGCGGCCGCCGCCGCAGCCGCAGAGGCTGCAGCTGCGGCCACTGAAGCAGCCAATGCAGCAGCAGCAGAAGCTATTGCTGCAGCGAGGGCTGCTGCATCCGATAAGCCACCCCCCGAAAAGAAAAAACCCATAAAGTTTAAAGATGCGGTGGGGAGGAAGTTCAGCTTTCCCTTTGACCTGTGTTGTACTTGGCAGGTATGTATTCTTTTCTTTTATTATCCTTGCTTTTTATTCACCCATTAGATTCTATATCTAATCCTGTTAAACCAAGGGTATGGAAGAGCTCATTCGCCAGGCTTTTCTCCACATAGAGGTAATTGGGCCTCATGTCGCCGAGGGACACTATGATTTGATAGGGCCCAACGGGGATATCATTCTTCCACAGGTTTGGGAAACCGTAATAGAACCTGATTGGACAGTAACTATGCATATGTGGCCTATACCGGAGAAGCCAAAGACTCCCGAGCCAGCTCCGCCGCCGGATCCTCCTGTCCCAGAAGCTGCCACTGCCTCTGAAGCTCTGCCAGCACCCGAAGACGTGGTTGTCGCTGTTCCTGCCGAGGAGCCCAAGAAAAAATCTGACTCAACAGGTGCGTCTTATGCCTGCTGTTTCGCCATGGAGTTTCTCAAAACTCGACCCCTCAGTGGAACTCCACTCGCCCTTCGTCTCGATCTATGCCGAAAACTGACTTGTCTTCTTCCCAGGAGTGAAAAAGCCGCGACCAAGAGCTCCTGACCCAGGCGCGTTTGCCATGTGGATGGCGGGTGGCAACCGTAGGTTGAACAAGGCTTTAAAAGTGGGAAAAAAGCCTAGAGTAGTCCTGCAACACGGGTTCGCTTCCCGTGTGTTGTGATAGAATCTCAACTTTTAGCTGCTGCCTCTAGACTGCGTGATAGGTATAGCGTGCATTGTTACTCCCTTTCAAGCTGGGCCTAAAGCTTAGATCGTGATAGGAAGTGAACGCCAAACATGCCGGTGGGCTTTGTATGCTCTGCGATATCTTCGACTTTTCAAGGCAGCCTGGGGCAAATGCTAGAAGTTTGCACTTGATCTATCCAGCTTCTCTGGGGGGGCATGGCTTTTCCTCTCGCATAGCCGAGATTGGTTTCTCATGCCTCGGGGTGGGATTGTCCGCCCAAGTTCATTTCCAAGTTCATTTCCAAATTCATTTCCTTTCTCGTTACCCTTCCCTTCCCTTGATAGCGGTGAAACAAGGAGCACGGAAGGTATCTGTGGTCCCTAAAAAAGTCTTGGCATGGTTCTATCATGTGTTAAACATTGTGGGTGTTGCGGCGTGCTAATATACCCATAGAGCGTTCAATAGCATATTTTACTCCTTCCATATGCATATTTGTGTATTATGTGTTTTGGCTTTAATGCAGGTTTTTAAGCCCAACAACCGGTTCCATATGACACAACTATTTTTTTCCCCATGCAGCGGATATCTTGCAAAGTCAAAAACATAGAACCTGTATTCTAACATTATGTGGATTTGCGCTTTGTACTGGCTCCATGGTCTCTCCGAAGTGAATTAGCTCAAACGTCCGTCACAACAGCTTCATTGGGGAATAAGGGGCTTCCATTCAATAATTTCGTCTGCAGTTCCATCAAGAAGATCATTAACATCACTTGTGGACCTCGGAGGTGACCCGACTGAGGGGTCTGTATGTAAGCTTTTGCCTTGTCCATGTTTCTCCTGTCTGTCGAGCCAAAACCCAGTTGACACGCCGGTATTTTTCAACCTCTCAGTTGAGGCGGACGGTGTATCGACTGTGTTAACTCTGTCTCCAATATTCTGTCCTAATCGATTATATCCTTTGAAAATATGTTCCGTGGCAGCAACTGTCTGTGGGGTGCTAGTAACTGGCCAAGACCCCGTTAGACGTTGCTTTGAACTAAGAGAAACCGGTTTTCGGGGTATCGGTGGTGCAGCCTTCTCACTACCCAGATGTCCGGTATACCTATTAATTGTGTTGTCCAAGGAACTTGGACTTTCCGTACTCAACTCAACTGGCAGAATCTGAACTTTAGGCCTTGGGGGAAATTGCGAGCCTTGAGATACAGTATCCTGATTCTTAATTATGGGCTGTCTTTTAGCGGAACCATGAGTGTTGACCCAACTCATATCACTGCTGGAAGAGAAAGGGTTAGAGCCGTGGTGGATGTTGAAATTGTATCCATCACTAGACGGTCTCAAAGCTGATTTTACAAGTGCCCCTTTTAAGTATATTGATTAGAATAAATGAATAAGGGCAGATGCGATGTGTAAGCACGTCACGGACGATCAGAGGTACATACCACTTTCTAACCACCACCTATGATGATCCGAACTAGCTGGTGGTAGACCAGGAGCAATAGGCGTGGGTAGAATATGTTCTTCACTTTGTAGGCTCGCCTGTTCTATTGCCTTTGTCATCACATTATAGGGGTCGTTGCGTCTCTCAGTATAAAGTATTCGCCTGAGTCTATCCTTCACAGCTTCATCAACAACGTTGATGACACATGAGAAAGCGGCCCAAACGGGTCGATGGTCTGAGAATCGTAAGTTTGCGGTGTTATATTCCATCTGACGAAGGCATGGCCCTCGCCACAATATCCTATCGCACCAAGCAGGTATACGTGCTTTCTCTCTGCAACTAATCAGTTCGAATACCCATTTTGTAAGATTAGCCGAATCTTACGATGTATCATAAATATCGCTGTCAATGTCATATTTGTACGTTGGCGGAAATGTAATGAGACCTTCAGTATAAAACGGGAAGGCTCTGCCTGCCAACATTTGTAGGTTTAACTGAAACATGACGTTAAATAAAGGCAAATCCCAGATTTATGCAATTGAAATACCTGATCGTTGCTGTAAAGCTTTTGGTAGTCTTTCTGTGTCACAAGTTCTCTAACAAATTGGTTGTCGAGACCGATTCGATAATTAAAATCTCCAAGCCACACAATGGCATCATGATTTTCAATTGCCCTGTTTTTCTGGAACCGGAGTCCGTGATATATAGTCTCATAGTCTCTGTTTCTCTCGTCGTAGTTTGCAAAACCAGCGGCAAGATGAGCCGTGACGAAACATATCCGCGTGTTGCAGTACTCAAAGCGTATTGCACAGCCACCTTTATTACCAGCCATTCCGGAGAGGCCCGTCTACATGATCATTATCAGACATGTGTTTAAAGGAATCGCGTGATGGCCTACCTTCTTAACACTCCCTTCAACATTCTTGATATCTCTCAGTGCATCTTCTCTAACATATACCATAAGTGCGGCGCCAACAAGCTGGCCACTCCGCAAAAGGACATACTTCGCAGTTCCTCTCGAACTCGCACGGTTGTTCAAACAGTTCCCAACAGCAACTTCCCATACCTTACGAGTTGTAGGGTCCGTCGACATTATCTGTTGTGGACTTAGTGAAACGATTTCTTGGAAGCCAACAGCAAATATGGTCGGCTCCTCAGTTTGCCCGTCGATTCCTGCCCACAACCATTGAGCTAGGTCGACATCTGGCCCACGATGTCTCCCATTGACGTTAAACGACCCTGTCCAGATTTTGATAGACTTGGTAGAGGAATATTCCAATGCTCGCCGATTTAACTCATCAGAGACCAGATCGTTGATCGGGTCATAGAGATGCACCGGCGATTGATCTGTCAATCTTCCCAATAAAAGGTCTATTGTTTTCTGACGAGCTTTATCGGAAAAATTGTTGACATAAAGCCGTGTTGCGGTCTTCCGTGCATCTGCCAGCGCGCCAGCAATGGACATTTTGCCATGTCGTGTGAACGAACTTTTCAAAGCACCTGTACCTGCGTAGATTTTTGATAGAGCATCTCCATTGTCAGCCCAAAGGGTTGAGTGCTTCAGCTGGACTTCTGGGTTTAATCTCCCCTTTCGCTGCAACATAAAGGATTCCAGAGCCATGGAACTAATGATGGTTTGCACAAGATTAGTCCTGTCGAGACAATCTAAACAATTTGTCCGGAACACGCCTTCCTGTTGAAGAATGACAAAGGAACTTTCCGGTTCATTTTGATTCTCGTCCGAAGTTGCTGAACCAATCCCTTCAGACAGAAAATATGCAAAACCATCCAAAGAATCTGATAACTCGGGTTTTATTTGGCTGCTAGCTCCGTACCCCAAGGGACCTCGAGTCTCAGCGTGGAAATCGAATTCAGTTGCTCGCAATAGTGCATGATTGGATAGTATGTTGGGAATCGCTTTTTGGCTAAGAGAACTCTTCTTGAGCTGGTTGGAAAACTCCGTCGACAGCTCAGACTCCCCGGACTTAAGCTTACTGAGAAGGTTAACCACGTGGATTGCACCATATTCTAATTCAAGGTTTTCAAAATGCTTGTTAAACGCATGCCGAGTCGCCTCGCTAGATCGAGTTATTTCAATTTTCTGTTGCCCAGGCAGGAATCCAGTAGCTTGCTCCCAGAAAATAGGTACGGAGCCACGTACTTGAACATAGGAAAATGTTATATTGGGTGGGATCCAAAGAATTGTTTCTGTCTCAACAAAATTGGCAACATGGCCATCATCATCAATGCCTCGGGAATTAAACCTTGTACCTGCTCGTCGAGAGGACTGTCGCGAAATGATGGTCAACGTGGAAGAATAGCTTGTTCGTAGCTGGGGCAGGATGGAGATTGAAGCAGGAATCGTCAGTGTACCGGAAAACCCGCGTATAACACATGTCAGGATCTGAGAAGAGTCGAGACGTAGCTTTTCAGCAGGCGACAGGTGGCTCCTGAAAAGAAGAAGTGGATGAATCATGTACGAGTTCCACAGCATATCCTCGTCCAGAGATTCAATATCGAAAGCTGTCGACTTTTCCGAGCTAGTGTCATATCAGCTAACATTTGATTATTTGAGCATAGACATCCTATATCGACTAACCGGTCCTGCAGTCGATCAGTGAGATTAAAGTCAAGACTATAATAGAAGCTGCCGTCACTGAGAAGCTTCTTCAGGGCCAAGAACGGATGATCAGTAACCGTCTCCTTATTCTCAAAGCTGGGTCCACGACTGAACTCCTCAGTCGCAAAGGATTCAGATTCGTATTCGAATCCATTTTCATAATCCGAATGACTAAGGCAAACTGAGGTTATTAGCTATTATTGATCGGGGAAGATGATAATGAGACAGTACAGAAGTCCACGTTGTCAATTTTTGAGACTGTCTCTCCTGGTCTTACTGTTGCGGCGTCTGAGCAAGCAGTAACAATGCAGAGGAAGACCTCCTTGCCCAAAGTAATCAACCCGAGAGTTCCAAACCCGTCACATAAAGCTCGATAACCTCTCAGGTCAACAGACTGTAAAGTTGCAAATTCAACGAGACACCGTGGCGGGTCATTATTGGTTGTTTTATTAATTGCTGGAGCTGTTGAGCCATGTTTGAATATTAAGGCGAAGTCTGTTGTTGTTATAGCAAGAGTGCGTTGAGGACTGTCCCGAGAAAAGACCCGTAAATTTGGCATATTCCTAGGCTATCAGATGTGTCTAACGATCATTTTCATACAGACTCAGGTCTTGAGAAGCCGTACGGAGTAAATCATACTGCCGAGAATATTGATACAATATTGGAAGGGGGCAAGTTGCTCCACTGATTAGAAGTGGAACCCCCTAAAAAAGCAGGCGGTCTATGTCTGTTATCAGGCCTTTCTTTTTCTTTTTTCTCTACATTATCAATTTGTCAGTCTGCTATCATTTCGTTGCTCCACCCATTTGTTCTACACTTTTTTCTTGCTTGTTTCTAGGATTTTGGGATTAGGGAGACTTATATCAACCGTAATATTTAACGTTGCAAATGGGTTTAGCAGCACCCCGCAAGTATGTGATTTTGGTGCACGAATATTTTAATAATGTGAATACTGACGGCAAGGCATTTTAAGGAGGACGAAAATCTCCCATGATCCAAACAATACAAATTGGTCCCGATCAACTAGTGGTTATGGCCACAAAATTATGAGCTCTCAGGGATGGACTCCTGGCAGTTTTCTAGGTGCACGCAATGCTGCTCATGCTGATATGTTCACTGCCGCGAGCGCATCTCATATCAGGGTTGTTGTGAAGGATGATACACTTGGCCTTGGGGCACGCTCCAAGCGTGACCCCCTCAATGAACCTACTGGCCTTGATGCCTTCAAAGGTTTACTAGGTCGCCTGAATGGAAAATCCGATGCAGATTTGGAAGCAGAACAAAAAAGCGCGAAGATGCGAAGATAGCACGGTATGCTGCAACAAAATGGCATACGGTCAGGTTCATTAGCGGCGGTTTGTTGGCGCAAGAGAAGCTTGTTTCCCTCTCCCCTCCGAAGGAAACCCCAGGAGCTCAGCATGGTTCACACCAAAACCAAGGTGGCCTCGAGTTGCAAAAAAGTGAGAAAGATGCGAACACTTCCATTGAAGATAGTACATTCCAGGTGCCTAGAGAGGAACAAGTCTCATCTGTATCTATTATGGAGGAGACCTCTAGGTCTAAGAGCAAGCGGTATAGGAAAGACGAACAGAGAAAGAAGGATAAAAAAGACAGGAAGACTAAGAAAAGGAAGCACATGGATGAGCCTAGCGCTACATGCTCAGAAATCCTGGAAAATGTGATTTTGGAAACTAGCCTAAAAGCTACTGTTACTGAATCTCGAGATGCATCACCCCCAATTGCCAGTGTTTCATCAAAAGAACGCCGTCCGATGGGGAGACATATTCTCAGAGGTCGACACATTGCACAAAAGAAGAAAGCCCTCATGGATGACAGATCTCTCAATGAGGTAATTCTAAACATGTCTACCACTATGGACTTGAAGCTAACTGCGACAGATATTCATGGTTAAATCGTGAATTACTTTTGCATTATATGTCCCCTGGCTACATGATTTTGTCAATTTAAGGACCATGTGACACATTACCGCTCCGCCTTGTGGTCATTCTACACAGGAGAATATCCCGATTCCCGTGCCATTAGAGGAGGCTGAACATCACGATGCACCGTATTTATATACCCTTTTGTTCTTTTGAGAGAATTATACATCTGCAATCGCGTTTAAGGACACAACGTTTTCTGGGTTGTTATGCATATATAGATCTCTATCTTGGCTGAGATAAACTATTATGAGATACTGTGCATGGTTGGTCAACCCAATAATCTGCTCAGCATATGATACGACTATGGGGTATTGTCAGGAAGATCAGCTAGCATAATAAGGCCATCTCTGGCCAGGGTGTCTCTACAATTATTGGGAAGATGATGAGCAGCTTTGGTTTTCAAATGGCATGGTATTATATCCACGAGAAAGTATGTAGTTATTTATATGTCAGTTGAATTTATCAATAGATGCATATAATAAAGTAGTCCCTATGATATTCTGTGGGAAAAATGTATCGACTTTCTGGTTATTTGTTTCAAAGGTAACCAATTATATAGTATTTATATCTCCCTTGAGTATATATAATCAGTACAATCACTGATTATGAAACTTCCACGCAGTATGTTCTATTTGTGCCTATTGGAAGGCTCTTACGTAGTAATTTTAGTATATCCCAGGCACGGTCTTTTGGTTTAATATAAATACTCAGGGGTTAGGTACTTGTAAATGGGTAACCTCTGTATGGATTTGGGAAGTGCTTGGAGCAGCCCACGGCTTTCTTCTGGACTGTTTTGAGTAGGATTTTTGGATAGCCTTTAATGATGCTGGAGAGAATTATCTACAAAAGGAAGTCTTGAGTAGTCACCTCACGACAATCTATATAATTTACATTATTTAACCCAATGTATAGTGAAAATAGTAACTTCTATAATATTAAAAGGTACATGTTTTGAGCAACTATCTTATATATGATGCTAACCGGAGAATATTTCTATCGCAGCCCGAGTAAGGACTTTATACTTGGTGATCGTCGTCAGCCGACCCTAAAGAAGTTACCTACGTAGCTGTAATGACGTCTGTAAAAGGCTTTAATTCTTCACGTGAAAATTGAAAGTGCCGAACGCTCCTTCCTCTCTTAGGTGCAACTATCACCCACAATCTGATCTGAAATAGTTGCTTCGATACTTCCCATAATTTCGCCATATATAATCATCCTGAGAAACAACATTTATAGACGCTTGTGTTTCATACATACCTATATAATACCTAACCAGCCTCCTATATTTTAGCTCAATGCATATCTCCCCGAGCTAAATCGCTTACATCCTGAAGTGACGCTGGCTTTCCTGATATTGCAGGCTCTCGACCACCAAGCCACACGAGTGTTACACTTGGTATCGAATCAGATATGGCCGTGACTCCAGACATAACCCATCAGCCTCGATCGGCCCCGATAACACTAGAGAATAGTGGCACTAGACGGCACGAGATTTCAAACGGAAACATCCAATGTCAGGACAGCAATTCTAGCTCTGATTCTCGGGGCGAAATACCTAGGGCTTCTGTAGGAAATGGAGCCCATAAATTACAAAGTGAACCAGAGATGATGCCTTCGCATAATCACATACTATCCGCAGCTGCAAAGAGTTCCACCAATACTTCTGGTGAACCTGGGAAAATTAAAAAGATGGGGTGAGTTTTTCCCTTGAGGCCTGGGCCTTGATGAAGGGAGTCGAATGTATAGCCTGTGGACTGACTCTAGATTTAGCATTCGCTGGGCACCGCTAAATATTGGTCTGGAACGTCGCCTTCAAACATTTGTGGTATTGTGTCATACTTTGACTATCGCCATTTTTCTTACCAGCTTCTTTTTCGCATGTGCTATACCATTATCATGGCCTATTCTCTTGCCTTATCTAATTTATATATCGCTCTTCTCAACGGCTGCTACGTCTGGGACCCTAAGTGGCAGGAGCAATTACTTGCGATCTTTACGCATCTGGTCAGTTTATGCGTCTTACTTCCCGGCCCGTTTACATCGATCTGAACGTCTTTTGCCAACACGGAAATATATATTTGGGTACCACCCCCATGGAATCATCTCACATGGCGCTTTTGCGGCCTTCGCGACTGAGGCGCTGGGTTTCTCGAAGCTCTTCCCAGGAATCACAAATACATTGCTTACCCTCGACTCTAATTTTCGGATTCCTTTCTATCGGGAGTATGCTCTTGCGATGGGCGTTGCTAGTGTCTCGCGTGAGTCATGTGAGAATCTTCTTACTAAAGGTGGCACCGACGGCGAAGGCATGGGGCGTGCTATCACTATTGTTATTGGTGGCGCCCGCGAATCCCTCGATGCCTTACCACACACGCTTCGTCTTGTACTTAGGAGACGAAAGGGCTTTATAAAGCTTGCAATTCGTACTGGTGCAGACCTTGTCCCAGTGCTAGCATTCGGCGAGAATGATCTGTATGAACAAGTGCGTTCGGACCAACACCCCCTGATACACAAATTTCAAATGCTCATAAAGCATACTATGGGTTTCACAATACCCTTGTTTCATGCTCGTGGGGTCTTTAATTATGATGTGGGTTTAATGCCCTACCGTCGCCCATTGAACATTGTTGTCGGCTGTCCCATTCAAGTCATTCAGCAGCAAAATAGAGATAAGATCGATGACGATTATATCGATTATCTGCATGCTAAGTATGTGCAGGAACTAGCAAGATTATGGGAGCAATGGAAAGATGTTTATGCGAAGGATAGGATTTCTGAACTCGAGATCGTTGCCTGATATGACTCCTCTAGTGCAGCATCACTCAATCTTTCTTTCACACGCGTTATAATTATGCATTTTAACCCATAACACCGCAGAAGAAAGAAATGAGGGAGTGGATGTTTGTTCTGTGAAAGTGACATAGTCAAGAGAAACTTGACTCATTATCATAGGTCGAAAATGTATCTGTGTTCATGCAAGATTTTCTCAAGCTGCGTATCTTAGAAATATGAAGCAATGTATATATTTGCCTCGACTAGTCCGGCATTATCAACAGCAGCCATTCATAGGTTGTGCGTGAAGTACGAAGATGGCTGGGCAATGACACCACACGATTGTATTTAAAGTGCTCTTATTGCGTTCTGAGCCTCTCAATTAATGATGCTGAAGCAAGTGTACATATTGACTATTTCCTTCCAACCTGCAATAACTGATATATCGTAAGGGCAAACACCAAACAACGGAAATAGCAGCCTGGGTATCTGAGAAAACCAAAGGGGGCATAATGTGGGATAGAAACATTAGAAAGTGCGAGGATATTAAAAAAAAGAGAATTAAAAAAAAGATAACAGAGGAAACAGAGGAAATAGGAAGCGGGCGGGGGAGATATTAGCGAAAGATAACTCCCGTTATGGGTAAATATCTATCATAGCATGCCAGGAGCATTAAGGATGCAAGACAAGCAAAGCGAGGTCTGTTACCCCGGTTGGAAATCACGATCGACATTGTCATGAATCGTGCTGCTTGGAGTTAAGCTCTGAACAGGCGTCATGGTGTCCGAAAGCCGTCGACTCTCGGTAGCGATACGAACACTCCCGTGGGAACCCTTGATCAAGTGGCCACTGTCAACCCGATCTTGAATCATCTCATTGAGAATTCGTGACATTTCATCATCCATATTTTTCGTCCCATTTAGTTCGTCCTCCTTGTGAGGCGGAAGGATACTAGCCACATGGTCACTAGCTAGCGAGTCGCTCACATCAGGATCGGCACTTCGATACTCACCCTTTTCCTTGAGGTCTGTATCGGTAGCGATATGCGCAAGGTCCCGATGCCGAGCAGCAGAACGGAGCGCAGCAAGCATTCGATCCTTATCGTCTAATTGTTGCCGAAGTTCGTTGATTTCCATATCTTTCTCACGTAGCAAGGCCACCATATCTGGAGTTTCAGAGGTTGCGCTCCCAGCTTTAACGCCTATTGACATTCGTGAATGGCTGGACCGGCGAGCCTGCAGTAGGCGTCTCTCTAGAGTCGAGATATACCGATTTTTATCACTCAAATCGGCCTGAAGGGCTACAATTTGCCTTTGAGCGCTTGCTTTTCCGTCCGCAAATTCCCCAACGATATCTTCATCCTCATCATTGCCAAATGAACCACTCGAAAAACGTAAAGCTTCGTTGCTGTTGACAGAGAGAATGATGCAGGCCGGACAGACGATGTCCCATACGCACCCAATGTTGTCTGACTGACTGAAGAGCGTAGAGATCGAGCCACCGATTCGGCAGTAGACATTCTTGATAGTCGACCAAGAGTAGACATCGCTCCCTGGCTGTTCACACCAGTGGATTTGGAGCAAAGAATGAGCCGATTGAGATGTTCTATGCGCTCTTTAAGAGCGGTTCGAGCTAATTGCATTTCCAACATTTGCTCTTCGTGGCGAGCCTGTGCCTCCTTTTCTAGTTGCTGCTCTTCCAATTTCAACTCTTTTTCGGCTTGTGCTTTTGTTTGGCTTTCGAGCTGGCTTCGAAGGGCCTGAATCTCCACTCGGTAGCGTTCTAGAAGCACACGACTCCCTGCATCACTGCTACCACTACCGAACGCTTCTTCCGCCCGTTTGGCGTGGCTGACAATATTGTTTTTGGCTCGCGCAGCAAATTTCAAAGTATTGAGTGTTTCACCAGAGTTCGAATTGCCCGTTATGCCAAGATGAACAGTGCAAAGAATGCTGACTAGTGAATTCCCTAACAAAGCTGATTGTAACAGCCTCGTGAGCTTGCTGTCACGATACGGCAGGTGCCTGCCCTCGCGATCAGTCGGGTTACCAGCTTTGTCCTTAGTTTCCGAAAGCCTGGAAATGATAGTACCAAGGGTAAGTAAGCTTTTATTTATGTGAGCACCTTCTGTGCGCCGTTCTTTGTCATCAGCTGCACGTTCTGATCCAGCTAAGTCTATCAAGCTAAGCGTGGATACTCTGACCCCTCCCGGGGCTATGCCCGATCGCCTGTCCTGAGTGGCGCCCGTGGGCACTCGTTCCCTACTCTCAACAACGATTTGGACCACTGCATGACTTCGGGAGCTGCGAGCATTGAACTGCGTGCTGCCAGTTCTTCTTGCATGGTCACCCCTCGCAATTACACGAAGAAGTTGCGTCGGGCTCTGTACGATCTCTTCCTTCAGTGGAGTCGCATACACGCCTCGTTTGCTATCTTCGCGCAGCTTTATCTCTTCCTGCTGGAGGGGCAAACCACTGCCAGAAGCAGAGGCTGAGAGTAGGTCATGGATCTTCTCGTTGTAGATCTCAAGATAGCTAACACGAAGCAGGAATTCTCGATGCGGAGTCTCCCTGATGAAAGAAAATATGTCGGTTATTGCCAATGGGATCACCCCTGGAGAGGTAGCAGTTCCCTGCATTGAGAATGTTTTACCGGTGCCAGTCATGCCGTATGCAAAGACGGTACCATGATAACCTTCCATTACCCTTCTCACGAGGCGTTTTGCCGCGGAGTCATAGACTTTGGCATTATGTTCATTGGGAGAGAAGACGTTATCTGATATACAAGAGTAAGCTTTTCTGCAGAAGGGTTGATTGTGGGGCTATTGTTACCATAATAATAATCGCCTCCTTCCTTTCCGCTAAACGTGATAAGGCTACGACGTGCATCCACTGCCCATTCGCTGTTGGTTTTTGATATCTCGGTGCCGTGTACATCAGGGCGCACTCGGACGCTAACTATAACGTTACCTTTGGCCTCCTTAGGCTTCGAATGAGGCCTGGAGGCACCCGTTACATCATCCGCGTCCTCAAAAGTGGTCGCGCTTGTCGAGTATGACCCTTGAGCGGAAGAGCTCCGGCTTTGCGATGGTGAAGCCTCTGGATCTCGGGCCTCTGCACCGATGATTGATTTATTATCCCCACTATTTAGCAAGGACGGGGTCTGTGAACTTCGATAGCTGCTGCTGGTCCCCACGCTTAACCTGGAGTTCCGTTTGACCTTCACACTGCCAGAGGAGCGAAGGCTCTGAACACCTGATATTGATGATGCGGTGGAAGGACGGCTTCCTGTCTTCGGTGGTTGGGGAAATGCCGCAATACTAATAGTCCTGCGTAGCGATTTATCGGGACTGCTTGGCGTTCGACCAGCGGATATTGACCTGGAGGAGCTCAGGTTGGAAGCCGAGTTGGACAGTGCAGTCTTACTAAGTGATGGCCTTGGGCTAGGAGAGGCACGTATTTTGGAAGAAATCTGAGACGGAGAAGGCGCCCTCGCATGGTCGGATGAGACTGGTAAACTCTTTCTTGATTTCGGTGCTGAGAGAGGGGGTAAGGACCCCGTCGGAGGATTCGCGGCAGGCCGCGACGGTTGGGGTAACGTAGACATGGAGGCGTAGATTTCGCACAAGTACTCCAATCACTAGTCAGGCAAGCCTAGCTGGGGCTGTCCGATTATGACGGTTTATGTTGGAGAACAACTTACGCGGCGGCCATACGCGGAGGCTTGAGGGTAATGCGTTTCGCTGCTGAATCTCTTGATTTTGCAGAGCAGGCCTCTGATAATTGGAACGTTAGGATTAGCATCTGATAGTAGTGGTGCATAAGCTATATTGTGGGAATATGAAGTCGAGACCTCAACCTAGACATCAGCCAAGTATGATGATGGATGTACCTCCAAGGAACATTGCCAATCTTGGCGGTCCTCCCCGCGCACGGGTGGTTCTTCGTCCCGCTATATACAGTACCGCAGCAGAAAAGTACACGAGAAATAGATATGGGAAATAGTGGAATAAACTATAGCTAAAGGCTTTTGAGGGCGAAAACTCACAGTAAATGTTAGGGTCGATTCTCGTAAAGGCCCCGTTGGTGTTTTTGGATTTGGCCGAAATCTCCGCACTCCAAACCCTTACAAGGATCACGGTCTAGAAATTCAAATTATCGAAACTGTTGTCGCCGCCGCCGTTCCGCTCTCTGCCACTGTTGGCGGTGCTCTTATATGCGACGTATGTTAACAGTGATTCAAGATCAGCTTGGAGGCAAAACGAACGGATTTAAGATTCTGCTTGGCCAAGTCTGACCAGATTGACAGGCCCGATAGGTGCGCCGTAACAGCACCAACCGGTCCCTGTGTTTGCGGACTTGCCCGCGAGGAGTTGGTTCAGGGAAAGAATTCAGCGAGAGTTGTTATCGTTCTTGTTGGTTGTTTAATCGCGTCTTTAAGGGAGCGGGACGGCAGATAAGCGGCCCCTGTTGAAGGGGGATTGAACGTGGTCCTCTTTCTTCCAGTTTTTCTTCGGCTCCCCTTAGTAGCTGGAGGGGGATTCAGGAAAGAATAGCCTTGGGCCAAATATGCAAAATTGAAGTAAGTTCGTCTTAGTATTATATGATCAACTTAATTATAGTGAAATGATAGTCGTTTGAAAGGTGACAACCCTCAAGAGGTAGTTGGGACTTGTTTATCTCTTGATCTTACTGTTAGTTCGAATAGCTGTAATACCTGTGGTGGCTATACTCCGGAGTAAGTACAGAGTACACCTACCAAGTAATTACTTTGTTGCGGTTCTTTGGTAGGTACTGCAGTCAAGTGCCTAACGCACTAGTAGTACTACTAGCCGGCGAGGCTATCATTGTCCAATGTTGTTTGTGCCTGGTGTTCCACGTAACATTACAAAATACTAGAATTGGTTCCTCTTCCTTCAGCCCTGTCTTGAATCTCCTCCGGAGTAGTCGCCTTGCATAATGTTCGAGGTCAATTTTAATATGGATGGGCCATGGGCAATATGAAGGAGTGCTTGTCTTTCAAGACTGGCTTTCTTTAGTCGCGAACCGGAAGTTGTCCAGACAGAACCACATCCATTACTCACGGAGTAAGTAAACTCTCAAGTAACCAGGCGACTTCCTACTGAGAAAATTTACCGTACATACACGAATACATACTAGCTCTGGTGTAACAAATTAATGAAATTTAAGATTATGATGATGCGCCTGCTGGGGCTCTGGGGCACAAGAAACCATGGGCTAAGACACTTAGTGCAAGGAAACGGGAAAAAGGGGACCAATAAACGCGTAATATGCTGGTGCGAAGGGGAGTCACTCACCCAAGTGCCTAAGCTAGTTTAGTGGTGCTTCCACTTTCCCAAGTCGAGTGATACATTATACAGGTTACGGAGACCCTTATTCATCCACACACGGGATTGACACACCTGGCAGCCGGGTCTGGAGTACAATAGACCAGTGGTACCTTACCTACTAGTTTTGAGGCCAATCCTCGACAGATTGAAGAGAACTTTTGGCGGAGCATTCATGAGTCTAATAGATAGTGCCGATAAGGAACAAAAAACGAGTTTTATGGGAAATACGAACCCAGGCTTAGGGTGTACTGTCTAGATGACTCTAGACTAGGCTTATTTGAGATTGTGGTCGATGGTCCCGTCTATGTGCCCGGCGACTAACTACTACGTAGATGATAAAACGATGGCATATCACCTGGTGTAATTTCAAGAGAATGAGCAAAACTCGTTTATATCGTGCTGAATCCGATGGCAGCTTCAGTCAGATGAAGTAGATCCGCTATTGCTTCGCGTTAAAATCTAATTGTCGGGCAGCATTCTTGAATGTATTATCGTCGATGTCTCCACCTCTTCTCGTCAAATCGTTGCCCATTTTCTGGATTCCGCCCGTTTTTTGGGGAGATCTTCCTTATTTGTCGGTCTGGGCTCAGTGAACCACCAGTTGTGTTGCAAAACTTGACGTGCCGTACTCCGTTTTCTTGGATCCAATGTACACATTGACATGAGCAAATCTGCGCCGACAGGACCGGCAGTTGGGAACTGTCTGAAGAAGAATTCACGACCCTGTATAGAAACAATGTGGTTTTTATCTGCGGGTATATAATTGGGCAGCCTAGTGACTCCTGGCCAGTTGTCTTCAGTGGGCGTGCCAAATGCTTCGCAAATTTTGGATATCTGGTCGAGATCAGAACTCCCCGCGACGAACGGTACTCGCAAGAGGAGCTCCGCAAAAACCATTCCCATGGACCAGACGTCTACAGCGCCCGAGTATTGTCGTGCTCCATAAAGCAATTCAGGCGGCCGATACCAGCGTGTAATAACTTGGTGTGTCATATTCAAGTAAGGGTCAGCGAATGATCTAGCTAAGCCGAAATCTGCTAGCTTCACCTCCCCATCGGCAGCAATGAGGAGATTGTTAGGTTTAATATCTCGATGGAGAATAAAATTTTCGTGGCAGAACCAGACACCTCTAGCAAGCATTCCCATCCACGCCTTAACATCAGCTGCGCCGTAGTGAATATTTCCGTCTTTAATGAGCATCTCAAGGTCACCACGTGGCAAATACTCTAGAACCAGGTTGAGATTTTGGTCCTTGGAGGAGAAGACATCATGGAGCGCTATGATATTTGAATGCGACAGTTCTTGTAAATATTTTACTTCCCGGATTGCATCCATGGAAAGCCCATCTTTGTATTCGGCATTAACTTTGATCTTCTTGATTGCCACGAAGGACGAAGGATCGACGCGGATATGACCAAGGTATACGACAGCATAGGTTCCTTCCCCTAGCTTCTTGTCTGTCGACTTGTTCAGTAGTGCCATAAGACATTTGAGGGGAATCATTAGCATGAATGAAGAAGGGCGATATATCTCACCTTTGATATATTTATGCCGCACATCGTCATTTAATTGTTCAGTTAGTTCACGGTCTGTACTGTGCGTGATAGCAGGCGAAGATGTATTGCCCTGGGAATTGGCTGAGCTCTGAGCAGCTCTCAACTTAACTGCGGTGTCGGAAGCTGCCGTCGCGGTTGATGGAGACTGGGGTGGTAAAGGTGAAATTGCCATGGTTTGAAGATTGATGGGATAGTCAAGTTATATTTCTGACTGTGCCCGTAGGTTATAACTCGGGAGACAGCGCTAAACTGAGAAGTTATAGAATAAAGTGCCGACCATAGAGAGTTGCTCTCTGATAGCTTTAGTATCAGCCGAATTTTGTTGTGCTGCGTAAATTTAGCATTACAGTGCCTTTTGTTTTGGTTTGTTTTGCGTTATTGCCCTACTCATTCACAGCAATATATGCTTCTTGATGCCAGTGTGCTGTGGTGGCGCTTACTATAACCATGTAGGCATGCATAAATAACCAAGTCTCGGAGTTTTGTTGATCCTGAAAATGCGGCTCTGACCAAAATTTCTCTAACCGCGGACAATATCACTACCAATCAATGAGTTCAACTGAGAAACTCAACTTTCGTTCTTTTCTTGATTTAGCAAAGGCTATCTGGCTTCCATTGCCTACACCCCGATCTCTTCCTGTGTAATTTTGACCCTACCAGCCAGTGGAAAAGATCAACGCGACCGATGATGGCGATGCGTAGCTCGTTTCTCCTAGCTCCACGACTCATCAGACCTCTGGCCATTAGCAAACAATGTGTGCGATGCTTCCATAAACACTCCTCTACGCCTTCTGTGCCTTCGCCAACACCATTCGTCCCCGACGTCGAAACATTTCTTACGTTGATTGGCCGTGGCATGACTAAACATGCAAGCAAGCTTCCTTCATGGGAGAAGCTGTTTACTCTTAGCTCTACTGAGCTCCGAGATATTGGCATTGAGCCGACTCGTCAACGGCGTTACCTGCTCCGGAAAAGGGAGAAATTCAGAAACGGAGTCTTTGGGCCGGGTGGTGACCTAGAACATGTTGTTGATGGTACAGCCCAATTGCGCGTAGTTGAGGTTCCATTGGCGCCAAGGGATACACCAACGGACAATCAAGCCTCAGGCACCTCCACCTCATCGGCGACGCTCTCTCCAGGTATGAGGAAAGTGATTGTCAACCTACCACCTGATGCTTCCGAGTATACACACGACCCATCGAAACCACTCAAAAAGTTCGCGCACATGAAGATCCATCGTGGCTCCATGCTTAGCGGGCCATTCTTACAACCAATCAAAGGCACAGATAATTGCGCAGCTCTAATAAAAGTCCAGGATGGCATGTGGGAGGACAAGTTGGGACACAAGGTGGATGGTGGTGAAAGGAGACGTGCCGAGGTTAGGGCTAGAAAGAGGAGTGAGGAAAGGAGGAAGGGGACAGCATAAACTCATGGATTTTTGAGAACTGCGGCGAGTAATTGTCTTACTGTATAATAGTTTACCGTACTTTTGGGGGGTTTGAATCGCAATACTAAACATCACTACACTAAGAACTATACTACAGGAGTCCACAATCTCTGGCACTGTAGAACTGGACACATTGATCCGTGGGCGTTGTAAGGCGGCATCTTCCAATTGTCAGGTTTAGGTCATAACGTTATATTAAAAATGATATGATGGGAAAATGGGGCTTCCTGAAAGTTGGCCCCCGATATGCAATGCGCAAATAATTTACATAGAAATAGATCGTTCGGCGCCATCATACATGTTGGAACAAGAGGCCATAATACCAACGTTTGAAGCGTCCCTCCACCTTCTTTTGTCTTCTAAGCACTTTTGGAATTATCTTCCACAAAACACGAGAAATATACCCATGGAAATTGTATATTGTAAAGGTCGAGGGAGCACTATGCCTTGGGGACGGGCTCGCGCTTCTCAAATTGTATCACTGAGTTGCCCAAAGGCTTAGAAAATAAGGACTATAATTCGGTTAGTGAGGTACTCTATAGGTTCCATAGGTAGCACCGCTTACTGAGTAGTCTGTGTCTGGGAGAGTTTGAACGCCTGGAAGATTGCTGAACTTGAACAGCCTGACTAGAGCCGCCGTGATCGCACCGAGCTGGACGTAAGCGAACTGTTCGCCAATGCATCTATGCCGCCCGGCGCCGAACGGAAGATATGGGCTGTTGGTTCCTTTAGTAACTAAGCCGTAGCCATAGTCAACCTTTTCTTCATCCTCTGAGCTAGTAGCGATGGCCTCATCCCAGCGGTGGGGGTTCCATTCAAGCGGATCAGGGAAATGTTCTTCTGATCTTGCAGTGACACCAGGGGAGGAAAGGACATTGTGTGAAGTTGGGATCACGTAGGGGGTACCTTCTACTGGCATCGGATTCTTCACAGCTCGAATGATAGAGTGGATCGGTGCATGTATGCGAAGAGTTTCTTTGATGACCTTGGCGTGCAAGTCCAATTTCTGCAGGTTCTCATAAGTAAGTGGAGGCATATCATGTCCAAGGATGCGAAGTTGCTCCTGATAGAGTTCCTCTGTTATTTCAGGGGATGCTGCAAGATGCAGGACAATCCAAGCCGCAGTAGACGACGAAGAGTGCTGGCCGGCCATGAGTAAGGCGATCATCATGTGTGCAATTTCTTCGTCGGGGACAGGTGTTCCATCTTTGTACACGCACGACATAAGATTCCATACCATGTCCTCCGAATCTTTTTTGCTGCCAGCGTTACGGCGTTCCTTTATAATCTCCATGTATGTTTCAGTCATCCTTTTCTGGGCGGCATCACGCTTGCGATTATGGGGAAGAGGGGCCCATGGTAACATAAAGTTTATGGGGGCAAAACCCATGTCGAGATCATGATACAGTTCGGCAAACGTAGAGTCAAATCTGCTTCGGACTTCTTTCCCTTGAAGTGAACGTGAGGCGGTGTAGATAGTAATCTCAGCAATTGTTTTGCAAACATCGAAAACGCCTTTGTGGCCCTGAAATGCCGAGGACTTTTGTACGAAATCTTCCACTTCCTCTGTAATCAGACGAACGTACGAACGAAGTGCATCTGATGTAAGCCCAAATTTCACAAACTACAATCGTTAACAGACTGAATCAACGTTGCTATTATTGCCGTCAACTTTGCTTACCTTCTTCTGCTCCATAAGTTTAGCATTTGGGCAGTCGTATACCACATGACGCCCAAACACTGGAGTTGTAAGTGGGGAATAAACCTCTTCGGCGCAGACATCTCGGAGTTTGCCATTCAGAATGAAATCATTCCCCTTGGTTCCTAGGTAGACGGTGGTCTTCTTACCAAGGAGGACGAATGTGAAGATATCGCCATACTGTGGTAGTAAGTATGTGAGCGAAATCAGTAAATACCGCAGAATTAGCGTACCTTTTTTCGGCAATTGAAGAAGAATCTGTATGGATCCATGCCATAGCTGATGGTGCTTCCAATAAAAGGGAACCAATGAAAGACCAAGGGGGGTTCCTTGTAATTTTTGAAGAGAAGTTGGCGCAAGACATTGATAATCACAGATACAACGAGCATGGATAGCAATGCCACACTGGTGAGCATCCATAGCGATGAATCTGAGCAGCGCTCACAAACACTGTCGAGAATGACAGATAGGAGGCCCATGATTGTGGAACAGTAGGTCACTAGGTAAACGAACGGGGGAATAACGACATGAAAAGGGCAAGCGTCTCGGACAGAGGCACCTTCCTAGGCCTCTGGAAGAAATTCAGGTGGGTAGATATACCTGCGATGCTGAGAGTAATGGCCAAATCTGAGGGATAGACTAAACTTTCGAGCGGGTGGGAAAAAGAAAAGTGTAAGTACGGAGTAGACTAGGTAGGTAGTACCTTTCGTTCTGGGACCTCGATCCGCCCGCCGCTGATTTTCTCCGGTCTAAGACTAAACTAAGAAACAGTAAACTACATTTCCAGATACCCCTGGCGACTCAGGACCAGCGAATGACAACAACGCGGATTTCACATCACGCCACTTTAACCTGGTAGACACCTAAGGCACCTTTACACACGTATCTTCGATAACCGATCATCAACTACTGTACCAGTACTACGGATGGGTACTAGTGTGTATTCATGGTTTTAGAAGATCTGACTGTTACAAACAGACCAGGACACAACGTAGAGAAGTATAAGGGAAGCAGGTGTGTTCCATAGTAGTACTATATTGTTGGTAATTATATTCTTAAAAGATCTATCGCCAACCTGTTCAAGATATCACTGGAAATAGCAATACTGAAGCCAATCCATAGATGCCTACACGAGCTTTCGTCGAGATCCGAACAAAGACAGCACCCATTTGAGAGTCAATCACCTGATGCCATTCGTGGCAACATTGTATGATATGCATGATATTAACTGGCAATTAGCATGTAGATTTGAGTAATCGCATATCCAGCAGAATGTAGAATAATGTTAAAATCGACCTTAACGATACTCATCTTCCCGATTGTGGTGATACTCGTCGTTTGTTCCTGTTCCTAGAACTCTATAGCAGCATAGAATAGTCTATAAAACCAGTACCCCACAGACGCCTAGCAATGTTTCATTTGTACTGACTGGCGGGATCTTCTTTGAACAACACTGGATCCCCACGCTCTCCAAGGTTGACAAAATCATTAGGGGCACTGTTTTGGTCAGGTGACACTTCACGTTTCTGGGCTTTGGCAGGCCTGTTGTGTACTCGTTTTCCGGCGTTATTTTTATGGAAAACTTTAATCGGAATAGCACCTTCCTCCAAGTGCTCACTGAAATGGACATCGTTGACACTGCTAAGGAGCGTGCGCTCCCGTGCGATTTTTCGTTTCGAGAAGTCCAGTTTCCCCAAAGCTCCAGTTAGCCCATCAGTGCTATCAGAAACACTAGGGTATTTCCCAGTAAGCCATGGATGTTCTAGGCATTCGTCCACTGTGATTCTCTTGTCGACATCAACGGTGAGCATTTTGTCTATGAGGTCTAGAGCCGGATCGCCCACAGAATCCCAGTAGGGTGATGGGTAATCAAAGCGACCCATCTTGATCTGCTGCGCTAAAGTGTACGGGCTCTCGGTAGTATAAAGCTCATCGGAGAAAGGAGGAAATCCACAAAGGCATATGTAGAGAACAACGCCAAGGGACCAGATATCCACAGCTTTCGTGTATCTTCGGCGGCGGGAATCTTGTAATATCTCTGGTGCCACGTCTACAACATAAGTATCAACAGTGCCATACCAGCCTTACTGGAGCGACTTACAGCTTGGTGTTCCGCATCTATGGGGAAGGAACATTAGCTAGGATCCCTGCACGAAAAGGACACCGATGAAGTAAAGGAGGTAGAGGAAAGGGAAATATGATTGTATCATACAGTGTTGTTGTAAACGAGTCTTCCCCAATAATCTTCGCAAGACCAAAATCACCGAGCTTCACAGTCAGCTCCTTGTCTGCAACAAGGATATTTTCAGGTTTTATGTCCCGATGAACGATTCCACGATCGTGCTATTACCCAGATTAGCTGGTGGTACTGAACAATGGATAGCTTCATCACTACCAGATACTTCAACCCTTCGAAAAGCTGAACGAATAAATCGCGTGTTTCCGTCTCTGAAAACTTCTGCTTGCTAACGATCAAGTTGAAGAGTTCCCCTTCTGGAGCAAGTTCCAGAACGAGGTAAACACCATCACTCTCGTCGAAGGTGTCTTTAAGACATAGTAGATTTGGGTGGCTAACGCCCATCAACAGACCTATTTCTTGCTGTAAAGCGTCCACTTGAGACTTCTGCGAATCGCCGGGACGTTTCTCAAAAACCTTAACGGCATATTGCGCTCCTGTAGACCGTTCTGCACAGAGGTAGACAGTTGCAAAGTGGCCTTTCCCAAGTTGTTGAAGAAGTCTGTATTGCTGGCGGAACCCGCTTGTTTCCCTTGTGCGAGGGTACCTGAAAACAAACCGTGCTTCATCTAAAATAGTGACTTCATCACCGTCTTCAAGTTCGCGATGCTTGTTACGCCCAACGATTGCATCATTAATAAAAGTACCATTGCTGGATAGATCTTCCATTATCGCAACCGATCCACCCTTTTTGTTTTCTGGGAAGATCAAGAAATGCCGATTAGATATAGTGGGGACGTTAATCACCAAGTCTGAATATATCGATGTCAGAGTCATACAATGTTATATTACGCTGTACGTTGCTACTTACCGCATTCCGGATGACGACCAATTAAGTAACCGCCGGGAGGATGACTCTTCGCTTGTTTGCCTTCAGATGATTTATCTTGCCGTCGAGTTGCCTTCCCAGTCTTGCCCTTAGACTTCGCATCCGCAAGGGCTTCACAACCATCACGTTTTCTCAGAACAAGTGGCCTCCGAACCTTTTCATCAAGCGGGATGAGGTAGCCCCATACCCCCTCAGCAGCCTCATCCTCGACTTCGTCGGCAAATGCTCTAGGTGGGTATACAAATTGTGATTGAGCCTGCGTATCACCAGGAGGAGACGAACATGTTTGGAGGGAGTCTGAATTGAGCGGTGTTTGGCAGCGCACCTGGCTAGAATCACTAGGTGAAGCCGTGACTTCTTTCGTAACGTCTGTCGTGGTTGAATTTTGTTGGGTCAGAGGCGTAGGTAAATAGGACTGATTCACCGGTGTAGTTTGAGATTGATCTTGGGCTGTGGTTCTCTGGGAGCGCCGCTGCTTTTTCAAATCTTGTGAATCGTGATCCGTGCTAACCTATATGATATTTGCATCTTCAGTGACTTGCAGTGGACCCGTTGGAGAAACACCCACCCTACTGCGTTTAAGAGAGCTCCTTTCGTTCTGTGGCACCATTCTGTTTTTGCTTTGTGTCCGCCTTAGGCTGCCAAATTTGTCATAAAGCAGCTGGCACGGTGATAAATCTGGGTATGTGGTGGATACAAAGCGGAGCGATGCAAATCAGAGTGACGCAGAAGGGCCTGTTTCTTCTTTTACAGTGGTGCTTCTGACTACCGTAATGATGCTTTGGTTTAAGAAGGGAATAAAGGAGGAGGGAATTAAGAAAAGACAACAAAAAAAATTAGAGAAGGGGACCACGATATTTCAAGAAAACAAGTAGAAAGATTAGGAGGAGAAGATGAAGGAAAAGGTACAGGCGACTTCTTGTGGTCGTGAGTTTAACTCACGGCCGGCAGCTCAAGATTCGGAGTTCTGCGAGGAAGGTGCGCTAACGCGTATCTTTCAAACAAGTACTCTTCAGAGGCCATTTGTTGACAACAAGGGGTAGCAGCAATGCCTTCCATAGTGCTATCTACTGGCTACATGGGACCCTATTTCTGATACAAGGACCGTAAAAAAAAGAAGCTAATTCGAAGACGGAGGCCAACATCAATCTGTTTGGATAATTGAGATAGTTATACCCTGTAGGTACTAGGTACGGAGCACAGTCAGTCCATTCGATTAGCTAGGTCGCACTGCACTGACATGGGCAAGTATACTTCGATGAGACAGGCCTTGATGTAACTTTATTACTAAACTTAACCCTTCTAATTCAGAAATTTGAGAGCCATATTTTCGAACCAGACATATTGTGTCATATAAGTTTCGCACAGGTGCTTGTAGTTCCTATCGATCTACTGGCTTGTACCGTGACTTAGCCTTAAAACCCGAGGACCTAGGTCGGTCGTAATTTAGTTAGCCAGAAGCACGTAGGTAAGTTCGGCCTCCCACGTGGGTCCGGGGAGGGAACACGTACTATGTCCAGTCACAAGCTCCGAGAGCACTTTTTATTACTTGAATCGTCTGCCGTTCAGGGGCGTCTCGTACCTTTTCTCCCTTTTGCCTCTTACAAGTTGGGGGAAACAATGAATTGATATATTTACACTCTGTAATTCATATGAAGCTGTCGTTAGAATGGACGAGTGAGTCATGATCTCATCGCTCGGAAAGTCTTGCGCTGATTGGAATACAGATTCTCCGCATCAATCAGACCCTCCGCGTTGGGGAAGCTTGCAACGCTAGCAGTCAGATCACCGGAGAGTGACGAGAAATCAGACATTGCCCGCATCTCTAGACAGTTTCAACTGGAGTCTTCCCCGCGTGGTTTGAATGGCGTCTTACGAACTCAGGCGCCAACATCGCGGGTGCCTATGGTCCGTCGTCAACGCTTGCATCTCGTACATCAACCAGAAACACATAAACTGACTTTCGTAGGGCATCCGAGAACTAGATGTATTAATCGCATTATGTAAAGCTTCTTCTTCTGTGGATAAACCTGAGCATGCCTCTAGGTTGGTTGCACAGCTATCTCAGTACCTTCCTGAGGCCCACAGTCAGCTCTTCCGTCCTTCGCCTTTCCTGCATCACATAAAACCTTCCCCTTGGGAGGCACTCACCAACAATGTCACTTTGGCTCTTCTTTCATTGGGCTCCGAATCTCGATATCCATTACTGCGAGAGACTGTGCTCGATGCTGTTGATAAGTACCTGGAACACTGCGCCAAATCTGTTCAAGCTGCGACGCCTTTCACGCATTATGATTCAGGGGCAGACCATCCCGGCACGGCTCATGAGGCCGTCAGTATGTTATCAATTACTGTTTCCCTGGTTGGCTTTCTGGAGGCCTCTACTAAGTTTGCTTCCTTCTGGACGGCCATCGAGAAATTGAGGATAATTGAGCATATGCGGTCAATACTGTCCGAGGGCTTTATGGTTGCTGTCGAGACAGCTTCCTCTATTGTACGTAATGCAAATATGTCTGACAACATGCTCCGAGATTGGAGGAGGTACACTCGGCGTTATGCTGCCGATGGACGCCCTTTAGGAGCCATGCTGCTGCAAGAAGGATTTATGCGCTTTGTCAAAGCGTGTACAACGTCACTTGTCGGGGCACATAATATGTCAGAAGATGAATTGCTGGACGATTATATGAGTGGCGTTGGCATCGCCAGGAGCCACGATACAGATGAAATAGCTCTTATCAATCGTACAGCAGCGATCATCGATGATCAGATCAAGCTTCTAGAGGATGATTCTGATTATCTGCAGCTTGGTTCACACTTGCAGCAACGGCTGGCTTTCTCAGTGAAGGCGTTCGCCTTTATCGGGTATCTACATTGTGTTTTGAGTGGAAGGGCAAACAGTGAAGACTTCCTTTCTTGGTTAGAGAACACCTTGGTGGATCCAAATCAAATGTCATGCCTCGAGCTAGCAACGGCAACTTTGAAAAGCATAGCAATAGTTGCGCGAATGTCACTAAACAGTGCTTCTTCCGGAAGTCGTTCTCTCTTGAGGTTCATTGTCGAAGGTGGCATTCCAACTGTGCCCACAGCTTCTGTTGCTGCGAAATGCCTTGCCCAAGTTCTTGGCGTTTTGTCACAAGACGCTGTTATCACGACTTTGTACTCACTTGGGAATGTTCTAAGCCCTGGCTCGGGCACCGAGAAGGCATATCATGGACAGTCAGTGGGAGATGTTCCTGGCCATAGCAATGCTTTTACCAGCTTCTCCCAAGCGAAGCAAGATAGTGAGGCCTCCCTTTCTGTCACTGGCGAGCAAGGCAGTGTACATTACAGAAACGTTATCCATGCTATCGTGACGATCGCTACCCATTCTAATGACGAAAAAATAAGCGCCTTAGCACAATCTATGTTGCTTCAAAAGATCGGGAAAGTCAGTGCTTCTGTTGATGCCTACATCATCAAGGAAACAGCTGCATTGTCTCTGAGCACAGCTCAAGGTGAATTTCAACTTCTTCTCAAATTCTACGACCGGGCCTACTGGGACGGGGTCACTAAGGGGTATAGCAACGTTGCCAACGCAGTAGAGAGCGCAATGGCCTACCTTTCTGTCACACTGCAGAGAAACAACCCACTTCACAGGACATATTTGACTCATTTACTAGAGAGTATCGTAAATAAGGGAGACGCGACGGATTTTGAGAATGAACGCCATAAAGACATAGCCTTCGCTCCTGACGATCTCAGCCCCCTTTTGAAACCACTAGCGTTGCTTGTCTCCGATCGAGTGACTCCCAGGAACTGCGCGGATATTACAGATTATGACCAGGACATATCTACTCTGTTTCGTGATGCCTGGTTCAATATTGCTGTTCACGGGATTTCACTTACCTCAGCCGTCGCTCGAACCCATATGAAGGAGCTGCGCATATTGGCAAAACATTCGCCGCCCCTTGTATCTGAAGACCGCATGGAAATGCTTGAAAGTGATGTGGAGCTTAATACAATTCTCAGGCGTGGCATGGGGCCACAGCGTCTCGTCGAACAGAAGAAGACCCTGATTACGGAGATTCCCAGCCGCGAACCTGAGATCAAGCGTTTAAATTATCCAAAAGCAGTTTTCCTTAATGCGGCGTTGCTAGTCGAAAGCCTCCGTGCATCTTCTGGAAACTGCACTAAAGTTCTCAGTTACTTCCGGGACCCAGCTTTAACCACCGTCGAAATGGCAAGCTGCATGACTACAATTGCAGAGAAAGTGGTAAATACTTATGTCTCGCTGACGCTATCTGGTAGACACGAAGATTTTTCGGTCCCATTCTTGTCGAAGGAACTGGGTGGTTTCTTTGTGGCTTGCTGTCACAGAGTAGAAAGAGTACAGAACGTTGCTGTACTCTGCGCCAATAAAATCATCCAAGAATGTCCATCGGCTCTATGCGAAAAAGACTCTCTCTTTGCTCTCCTCGAACTCTTGACAGTCATGTGCCAATCTTGCCTTGAAGAAGAACTCGATGAATTTGAGTGGAAACCCTCGTTCACTTCACCCACGGGAATAGTCAAAGTTGACTTACCTGATAACTATCACTTTAGAAGGAAAACTTTGGATGTGTTCCTTGAACGAGCTCGGGAATGGGTCACGGCCGCGATGGATATCGCCCCCCTAGATATTAAAGGTCTTCTTCAGGTATGTCCCAGCTCTGTTTTCTGAAGCACGTATCTTACTAGAAGCCAGACCTATTTATCCGCATCAGAAGACAGCAGTGGCTTTGGCAATATTTCTATGGGTAGATCGTTTGCACTTGATATGGGATCGCTCATCTCCAAAAGCGATCAGCGGCTGGGTAAGCTTAACAGTGCATGGCCAAGACTTATTTCTAATGAATCTCATCCCTGCTTAGGATCAATTGAGCAATATGGGATCAATAGGGTCGATGTTGCTTCTGATTTCATGGCCCAGTATACTACACGCCAAAAATATCGATATCCGGATACGCAGTTGTCTAAATTTCTAGGATGGGGGAAAAGTCTGTGTATCCTTCTCAATTCAACAAATTCATTGAGCTGATCAAACAAATGCAGGCCCCAGAATTGATGCGCCTGTGTTGTTTCAGCTGGAGTCAAACGACGCTGTCGAGACTAGGCTGTCCTACATATATGAACAGATTACCCTGGGAAATGAAGTTCCATTTCTGGAGGTTAGGGATGAATTGCGAAAGGCTGCCGCTCTCTTGTGTTGTGGCGGTGATCATCATCCTTCTATTCCACATTACCTCGTGTCTTTACCCTTTGAAATATTCTCGACTGAATCAATAAACCTCGGAATATCTCTGTGGCTAGGAGCAATACATGAGAATCCAAGTGTGGAGCCCAAGATTCTAGTTGAGGTAGCTGAGGCTTGGGAGAAGACAATCTCGCGCAAGAAGGGTCTGTTCGACCCATCTTTTGAGTATGGTCCCCTATTCTTTCATCTTGTACCATAACACTGACTTGTTGCAACTTAGTTACGTTGATCCGCTGTATGCAAAGATTGAGCTTCTGCCTACTGATAAGGCACTGATGCTACAAGAGCAACAAAAAGCCCACAAATTTCTCTCACCACACTCACATGTTCTCCAGTTCTTTGAGAGCCACTTCAGTGCAATTCAGCTAGGAAATCTACAAGATCAACAATTGTTTTGTCGCCTCGTTGGCAAGACTTCTGTTGGCCTCGTGCAAACGAGCGGGCATCCCCTATCTCGCGAGCTTCACTTTCGTATCATTTTGTTTGGCCTTAGAGTCCTGAAGCATTTCAGTTCGGCAGACACGGCCTCTTCTTGGAAGCTTAAAGACCAACTTTTGTCCGCCGCCCTAGGTTGGTTTAGACATCCGCCTAGGTATGTTGTCAATTCCGTGCTGCTGAATCTAGTTCTCTAATATGTGCATCTGCAGGTGGTCCTTCGGAGGTAATCGATTGCAGATCAAAGCTGAAGATAAAGTCCTCAGTGATGTCGTGTCTGCTCTGGTTAATGTCTCCAATGTCGCCTGTCACACACTGGGATCGTATAGGTCACTGCAAGCTAAACAAGATCTGCTTCATACCCTTCTTGAAAACGAGAGGTCACGCCTGAAGGTTTGGCTGTATCCTCTGGATCAAGAACGTAAACATTACATGCCTCAGTCTTCTGGGAACAGGAATTTGATGGAGGTTCGTTGGCCTTACGGGCAACACCCACCCCGTTCTCCTTTCCCAAGCCCTTCCAAAATATAAGTCTAATTTTGCGCTAGGAGGCCACTTCTTTGTTACGGCTTGCTTGGGCTGAGCATCCAGGTTTAGCCATTCAACTTGGTGCTCGTTTCCCATCTGTGAAGCTGAAGAATGATATCCGTTGGCTATTGCTTAACTTCCCGGAAAAGGTTATCGATGAGCCCAGTAGCCTTGAAATTATGCTCGGTGCAACTCTTCCTGCAGATATCTCATTCCAGTTGAAGGTATGGTTATGTGCATACTCGATTGATTTATTTCAATTCAAGGCTGATTTTAACAGTATTTGCTTTACTGGGCCCCCGTGAATCCTACTGAAGCTCTAACATATTTCTTACCTGCTTATGGAAATCACCCATTCATCCTGCAGTACGCGATGAAAGCATTGGAAAGTCATCCCATTGACGTTCGCTTCTATTTTGTTCCACAGTTGATCCAGGCTCTACGATACGATGCGTTAGGTTACGTAGAGCGCTATATCATGGAAACAGCTAAGCAATCTCAATTATTTGCACACCAGGTGATTTGGAATATGAAAGCCAATTCGTTCAAAGACGAGGATTCTCAGATTGTGAGTGAAGCGGCCCTTAGCTGGGACGATTTGTTAACGTATGGAAAACAGCCGGATCCACTCAAGCCAACCCTGGACAAGTTCATGGACTCTCTCATTGCCAGCTTCACGCACGAGGAACGCGACTTCTATGAAAGGGAATTCTCCTTCTTCAATGATATCACAGGTATTTCAGGGAAGCTCCGGCCGTACATCAAAAGAAGTAAACCCGAGAAGAAAGAAAAGATTGAGGAAGAGCTTCGCAAAATCAAAGTGGAAGTTGGTGTTTACCTCCCTAGCAATCCCGATGGCGTTGTTGTCGGCATTGATCGCAAGTCAGGAAAACCACTCCAAAGCCACGCAAAAGCGCCATACATGGCGACTTTCAGAATTCAAAAGACGAGGACTCGAGCTGATCCAGGCGGCCTCATAAGTTCTTCAGGGCAACACACCTTGACTCAGGACCAAGAAGCTCGTTCGGACTCGGAGCAAGAGACCTACGAGGTTTGGCAGTCGGCAATTTTTAAAGTCGGTGACGACTGCCGCCAGGACATGTTAGCCCTGCAGATGATTGCTGCTTTCCGGAGCATCTTTGGTAGTGTCGGGCTTGACGTTTGGGTATTCCCCTACCGAGTAACTTCGACAGCTCCCGGATGTGGTGTGATTGATGTCCTCCCTAATTCAATTTCTCGTGACATGCTGGGCCGTGAAGCAGTGAACGGGCTCTATGATTATTTCGTTTCTAAGTATGGCGGGGAGGACTCTATTAAATTCCAGGAAGCACGTACCAATTTTGTCAAGAGCATGGCAGCCTATTCTGTTATATCCTATCTTCTACAGTTCAAGGATCGTCACAACGGGAACATCATGGTTGATGATGCTGGCCACATTATACACATCGACTTTGGGTTCTGCTTCGATATTGCACCTGGAGGCGTTCGCTTCGAGCGCGCACCGTTCAAACTCACTTCTGAAATGGTTGCCGTGATGAGCGGTACTCAACACACACATGCTCATGCCTCCGGGGGTAGTTCTTACAACCCTACAAGCACGCAACCATATCGGTGGTTCGAATCCTTGGTTGTGAAGGCGTTCCTTGCATCCCGCCCCTACAGTGCCAAATTAGCTCACATTGTCTCCTTGATGCTTGATAGTGGCTTACCCTGTTTCAAGCCTGACACACTGAAGAATTTCCGGGACCGATTTGTTCTGGAGAAGAGCGAGAGAGATGCGGCTGAATATATGCGGGAGCTCGTCCGCAAATCCTACATGAGTGTCTCTACTAAGGGTTACGATCAATTTCAGCTGTTGACGAATGGCATCCCTTACTAGATCGGACGCCGTAATTACATTCGACACCTTTCTTTGATTTCGTCTATACCAATAATGTCTTTTAGGACTTTTCGTTTCGTTCTGAAAGACAAAGAGGGGGGAGTGGGAAAGTGCTTTTTTGCAGAAAAGGGATATATACTACGTAGTTAGTATATATCTATTTAGATTATTAAATTTTGTATCTAAAGCTAACGTCTTAACCCCCTTGAAAACTGCAATGTATTAAGGCACAGATCATTCAATTATTCCAGACTGCACCCTTTCCAGTAACTTACTTCCCAGTGCACTGCTAGTCAAGGAAAATGACGAATAGCATTCTCATCCATATCTTTGGAAATCAGACGTGGTCGTTCCAAGACCAAAGCCAGTCTCCGTTTGAGGCCTCAATAAGCTAGATAGATAGATACGTAACAAACATATGGTTGGACCTTCAATCATGGCTTGAGCATCGCTGAACACAGATCTTACGTGTAGGGCTCACAACACTAATATTCGAGAGTCGTGCGTCTCTTTTCATGAATGTCCTGAGGAGACAGCAGGTCACAGGGAGATTCCAATGAAGCATCCACAATGTCGCTGGCCTTTTACCATAATATTACTTACCATTCTCTGCGTGCTCCAGATTGCTCCTTTCGCTCGACAGACATTGTTTATATCTAGCCATTGATGTTGGTTTCGCTCTCCTTTCCGACGTCCACTTTAGATGGCATTTTTCCTATGCAAAATTAATTACGTAATCCATGGCGTCATTGTGAAAAGAAGACCTGGAAGAATGGCCGGGATGTCGATGGCATACATTTGCATTATGATCTCATACAGGCCTATTTCAAAAGAGTATCAGAACAGGCATAATACCCCCTAGTCTCCAAGCTACTAACCGCTATGACATACATTCAAATGGAACCCGAGGAAGGCCATTACACTTTTAGAGCAATAATGTCACTATGCAGCCCATACTTCATTTCATTGAGCAATGGCTTAACTATAGTTGGGAAGTGTTCTGAACAAGAACAACAAAAATACAAACAAATCGAATGAAAAAAGGAAGAAAAGAAAAGAAAAACAAATGATGTAAATAGAACAATGTGTGTCGTTGCAGTCATTTACGACCCGACAACCATTTTAGAACGACCTAGTGTTGTTTCAACCGTCTGGCTATGTCGCCAGTGCAATGAACATGAGGTCTGACAAGCACCTTCAAAGGGAGAAAAAAACGAAAGATAAACATACGCTAAATCAACAATATGATCACTACCCCGTATACAATATGATTCGTATCGAAATTTGACTAAAACTGTGTCACCATTTTGAATCCCTCGCCTCGCTTCCCCCTCTTTTCATGTTCCCACCCCTCCCTTAATGACTAGTGGTAAGATAGTCCGGAGCTGACTGCGACATCGGATTCGATATCTTTCGTTCCGTAGATAACCCGGATGGATGTATCATGAGAAGGGCAGCCAGCTGACTGAATAGTCGATCATAACGCCTTGCAAATGCAGAATCGAAAGTACCATATTGATTGAATGCAGTAGTTTCTTTCTCATGTCCATTTCTGTCTTAGATTCTTCCCTCGTCCGTCTCCCGTTCATTTCAGTCATTGATCCTCACCCTTGGTGAGAGTAGATGAAGTGCTAGACAGGAACGAAGAGGTAGAAAGCACTAGTACGCGTGCCTAGTCCATGAAGTCTCCACGGAGTATTTTCTCCTGAAAGAAGTCCGGCTTATTTTGCCGGGGTTGCTTGGGCATCTCCCGGGCTGGTTGTTCCATTGAAGCAATGGAGGCCGCCCGCTGATGCTGCCCAGGCTGAACCGTGTTTGTTGTATGCTGTCCGTGAGGTGCATTTAAGGAATTGCTTCCAATCGATGGGGCACGCTCGGCACGAGTCCGAAGAGCTTCGGACCAATTGAAGCCTTCGCCTAGTGGTCGCCAAGACTGGTTAGATCTATCGTTCTTAGAAATCACTTTATGTGTACTTGCAGCTATTGAACCAGCGGTGGTATTGACAGAAGTGCTGCTGACTAGTGACGCATTTGAGCGCCCTCCAGCCACGGGTGACTTGGGAGAGGGATATCTACCATTGCCTGTGCTTCCTCCGCGGACATCTCGCAATGCTTGTGCGCCAAAGGAAACCCTTCGTGCGAACGGAGAGCTCGGTGTGACGCTAGGAGGGCCATTCTCATTATCTTCTATGACCGCGTCCTCGAGGCTCGCGGGGTTGGATCCCACAGAGCTGGACACACTACCATGCCGCAAGTTTCTTCCCCCAAACGGTGAAGTCTGGGTTGGTGAGCCTGAAAGACCTAGCGTGGTAATGGATAGCCGTCGCCCATGGTGCGACTGTGCGTTGGCTACGGCACTAGCCATTGGACCCGTTGGAACGCTTGAGGTGGTCCCCTGATTCCCGGGTTTCGTCAGATAATCAGCCAAGCCAAGGCCTGACGCCAAGGAAGCTCGACGTTGTCGCGATGGTGGAGGAACAGAGATGGGAGAAGTCGAACGATCGCCTGACATTCTATTAAGACCTGAGTGAACAACCCCGTAGGATTATTCGACAGAGTTGATGATTTGGGATGGAGGGTGTCGGATATGGTTGACGGGCTAACTGAGCACTTATCCGGGCAGGACGCCCCCCTATCCCACAAGTGTGGAGATAGAAGAATCGAAATATTCAATGTTAACCGTAAATTGACGCTACTGGTTTGTGCTCAGGGTATCTATCATACACGGTATGACGTCAAACCCTGAAAAACAACTGACAAGGAGAGAGCAACGCAGAAGAGGAGAAGTGAGACCCGGTAGTGCACACAGGTCTGTTAGGGGTGGATCAGTCAGCCAGGTATGTCACACAAAGGCAATGGAATATGGATAGATGCAACAGTAGTGGTGGCAAGAACGATAGGGAAAGATGCCGAAGCCGCCGCAGTTGGCAGAGCCACCACCAAGGAGGGATACGGGGTGCTATTAATAACCCAGACAAGAAACGGAAGGAAGTAGAGGGGAAGACAAGCTAAGGGATGCGGAAAGAGCGGGTTTTTCATACCTTATGATCGACCAGCTAGCTGCAGAGGTAGAGTGGAGAGCTCCAGTGAAGGGGCCGGGAGCATGGATGGGATTCAATCGATTTTCTCTTGGCACAAAACTCGCCGGTGTATGGAATGAACTTTCAGGATGTGGAGAAGACGCTAGCTCTAAGGAGGGCTACCACAAAAAGACCTCCCAGGGATCTGCCATGCCACGAGCTCCTAGTGGCTACCTTTACCAGGGAATAATTCACCGATACAGTAGTACTCTATAGGTAGAATAAGGAGACGGTTAGTGGGGATAAGAAAGGGACGGAAGATTAGGAGGAGGAAAGAAAGGGAAAAGAAATCTTCTTCATTCGAGTCAAGAGAAGGAAAGATGAGATGAAGAATGAATGTCCTCCTGTACAGTAAGGTTCAGGTAACTTTACCCCACGATTGACCGCGGGCCAGAACCGGTCTAGCCTCCTTGGGGTTGGATCCGGGGAAACTCGATGATTCATCTCCCAGCCTTGATTAATGAGGTCAATGGCCCAGGATGCAGTGGTTAAGTAAGAACTCGTAATAGAACCACAACTTGGGAGGGGGGAAAGAAAAACTGGAAAGGTCTGGCGAACAGGTTAAGCATTAGAATCTACGCAGTGTCTATCGATCGATCAACTTTTCTATCAATCTGTCCGTTTTTGACCCACACCGATCACATGTTAGTCTGCCTTATTTCACTACTTGCAGTTAAGGGGGTTTTTTTTTTTGAATGTCCTGGTTTCAGCTGAAGAAATTAAATGAAAAGGGAGCCAGGACTCCATTATTCTGTTGGCACTTACTCATGTTCTTATCCATATTCAAGGGTAGCTAACAATAGCTTGAATTGTATTCACAGCAGCCCCTCTTCCCCATGCTTCTCATGTATGTCCATAAAAACTTGGCAAACAAAGTTTATCGTGACAATTGATTTATTCCCTTTTACCTCTCTATCGGTGACCTCACTCCTAAAGGAGGGGTTCCATATAGCTCCTCTCCATACCGCACTACAAGACAAAACAATACTTAAAGTATATATAAAGTATAACATAGGTGTCTTTTTGGCATACCCTTGCCTGCTACCCCAAACAGCACAAACGAAGGATACGGATAGCTTTTATTAACCATGTACCACACCTTTTTTTCCCCCTTTATTCTTCTACCTTCATCCAAAGAGGGGAAAGGTAAAAGAAAATAAATAATATATAGCAAAAAGAAAACCATACACACGTATTGATTCGGTTATAGAGAAGACTCTAGAGTTAAACTGTGAGATCCTGAGCATCAATCTACACGCCTCTGCTTCTCTTTCTTCCTCTTCGCCTCACCCAGGGTAAGGTGTGTGGAATAGCTGCACAAGCCTCTCCCCTACAGCCGGCTCAATCTCTGTGCCATCTCGGGCGATTTTGATTTCTCGGTTTGCGTTCCAAGGGTTCCGCAAACCTCGTGTGCGGTAGAACGGGACTCGTTCTGTCGAAAGCCATTGGATCCGGAACGGCTTCCCTATAGATTGGAACCCCGACTCTGATACCTCCTCGGCTACGTTTGCAACGCTCTTATCAATCTTGTTTCCGCCTTCATCTTCTGATGAGTCTGCTTCCCAGAACACTGTTCCCCGCACAATATCATTGATGATCCGTCCATTTGGGGCGGTGGACGTCGCTAGAGTTGGAGTCAAATCCAAGTCCTCAGGCTCGGCCTGGATGTGGTTAGGGCGAGGCAGCATCTCCATACTCAAGCCGTCGTCCTCTTGGATTGGTGACACCATCCGAGCGTACCCATAATACTCGCCAGACTTGTTGGCCGAAAAGACAAGGTAGACATTATCAGCAGTCTAGTTTCTATTTGTATTAACTCAAGGTACTCTCCTCTCTGTGTCGCCTTCCACCTTTGTTTGGATTTTGAGACTCACCTGATAGGCCTGGTTCAAGGTGCCCTCGTTATGCGCCTGCGTTGCC